GTTGAGAATTTTAGCAAATGATATGATGCCTGATATACAAACTATATCAGTTGTAGAAAGTAGCAATACAAAGCATTGAACATCTTGAACTAAATCCCTCATGCAACACTTAGCAGTCTAATTCCCATCTTGGGATGAGAGGCCTCTTGTCTCACCATGCTAAGCTGATCAAGCAGGGTATTTAAAAAAACAAAATGAGAAAAAGAACTAGAAAAGAACCTTCTCCCCATCAGCATGTTTTTCGAGAAAATCAGTTAGTGGCTTGACATACTGTGCAAGACTGGTAATGCCATTTGGATCAAAAGAATGAATGCCAGAACCAGTTAAGTCAATTGCAGTGACTTTAAAACCACCTTCTTCTAGAAGCGCAATTGTTTTATACCAACACCAAGCACCAAATCCTCCTCCATGGACAAGGACAAAATGGTTTGTTTCCAAGTCATCATGCTTTATCTCCTTGGAAAGAAGAAAAAAAACATGAAAAGGTTTAATAAGGGATGTATAAAAAAGGACATCAGACACCTTACAATCAAAATTCCTATATTGAAATTATTAGTAGACTAGATCACAAACAAACTACACCATCCAAAAATTTGAAACTTTCCCCTTTTTGGCCTCAATTTTAAGAAGCTTCAAACTTGGAAATACACAATCTAAATTTTTAACAACCAGTAGAATGTACAACGCGATGTAAATTTAATCCTAAAACTAGTATAACTTTTGAGAACAACAGCCAGGAATATCCATTAAGGTTGAAGTCTTAAAGAGATGAAGTAATATAATCTCGTTTTCCCACTGAACTTGGAATCCTACAATTTTGTCTCAAAGAGATGCAATAATATAATTCCGGTTTTTCCATTGAACTTGGAATCCTATAATTTTTCTCAAAAAAGAAGTTAACACTTAGCAGGAACTTGATATGATGCCTAAGCATGTGTTAAGATTCCATCAAGTGCCAAACAACAAGACCCTTAATGTTCTACCTTGAAGACTGATGCCTACATCTGCACAGCTCTACATACTGAGAATAAGTGCATCAGAAGAACATTCCATCAATAAAAATAAAATAAAACAAATACAACCAACACGCATATAATAGAATATAAAAAAGAATATCAGAAACAAAATGGTAACAATTGACATTTTTTTTATCACAGCTGAGTAACATAGCTATCCCACTTCAAAAATGCCTGAAAATATTCCACTCTATACCACACAACTTGATCTCGTTATGAGGGAATATAGGGATTGAAGCTTCAATCTCCATCACAAGGAGAGGCAAAAGTAGAAACAAGAATCATTCGGACAAGAATAGCAATTTGATGATCTCTAACAAACCCCCATCACAAGAAATATTTCAATATTTGGACGTTGCAAACTTTTATTAAAGCTATTCCTACAATAGCATAAAGGCGATATCCTCCACTGTTTTCATTCAGAAATCCTGAAAGCTTAAAGCAGAGGAGATTACATGAAAAGAAAATAACAAAAGTACACATCAAATAAATCTCACTAAATATCAAACAAACAAACGCGATATTCTCACCCTTTAAAAATCACATTGATCTACAAAAATAAAAAATAAAAAAAATAAAAATAAAAATAAAGAAAGAAATCCTCTATCAGAAACCAAACGTTTTACCTAACCAGTCATCTTTTCACCAACATCTTAAAAATGATACCAACTAATTTTCCGATGCTTAAAGGGTTAATATTGCAAGTTTACTAATGATTCAGATAAATGGTTTAACTAGAAAATTACCCAAAACCCACCTTCCAAAAAAAACCAGAACCACATGTTAAGTTACTAAGCAAATTACCAAAAAGTTTCAAAATTTACTTCAAAATGGCATGAATTCATAAACATATATAAACCACATATAAACCCATCGACAATTATAAACCAACAAAAAACAATTCCAAACCACCTGATTAACAAGCTGGTGGGGCTGAAAGAGCGGGTCAGCCGGCGACCAGGCTCTCGAACTTGAGCTGCTGGGCAAGTACTGCCCCTTCTTGGGCCAGGGAGAATTCGGAACTGACCGATTGAACGGAAACGACGCACCACCATCCAGCTGGTGTTGCCCGAAAAGGATCGCAGTAGCTAAAGCATGCTCTTGAAGCATAGAATCATCAGATTTGCTTCGGGACGGTCGGATCCGGCTCGAGCGCCTGCTGGATTTCAGACCCTGTTGAACGTTCGAAGAATGCTGTGGAGACCTTTGCTTCGCCGGTACTGGTTTTCTCTCGAAGCTGGCGCAGAGATTACCCATTGCTGCTGCTGCATGAAGGGAAGGAAAGAGCACGAAGAGAAGAGAAAAGAGTGTTTATATTTTATATACAGAGGTCCGCGTGTGTTCACAACATGAGCTTACGTGCTGTGAGCATGGTTTTGGTGGAAATTGGGGGGAGTCGGCCGCAGGTCAGGCATTACAGAGAGGGTGACGGTGAAGGGTGGCGTGGAGAACTACTTATAAAACACCGCGAGACAGACATGGCCTCGCTTTTAGTTTTTACTCAAACAAATTGCATTTTTCATGCCGTAATTCGCTATAAATAATAATTAAAAAGAATAGTATTTCTTAGTTAAGAATTTTAAAAACTAGTATGTTTAGTATTACGGTACTAGGAAATTAATATATTTTATTTTATTTTTTTTCTAAATCAAAAGATTTAAATGTGTCCGACACTTGGTGATTTATTGTCCACCCCTTGCGATGAAACGTGCCTAAAACTAATGAAATTTAATATCAAATCCCAGGTCTTCCTTCTCTTTTTCTCGGAAAAAATTTCATACTGTTCAAAAAAAAATTAAATGCAGTTCATGTGCATAAATTACATTTTATTTAACTATTAATAAAAAAGTAAATCTTCTAATTTGATTTATTTTTTATTTTTTTATTTCTAATCAATAATTATTGTATGCATATTTGCGAAACAACATTCTTTTTTTAAAGAAAAAGATATCAACAACTTAAAGATATTTCAACCTAATTTTTTTAAATTAAAAAAAAAAATTGAATTTTAGTAGTGTATGTCATATAAATAGGGTGTATTAAGAGCCAGTTGCTTTATTACATTATTTCTAGAATCCATTTTTGAGGTTTTAAGTTTGAGGTTTATTGTCAAATTGTTTAGTTGTGCTGAGATATGTTTGTACTGTTAATTTTTTAAATATTTGTTATTGATGATAAATACTTACTTCTAAAAATTATTTAGATTCTTCAACAAAATATATATATCCTTATTAGACATTTGTATCATGGGCATGATCCATGAAAAATCTATAAATTATTAACATTACAACTACAACATCAACATAAAAGAGTAACATTATCTTTCTCTTAGAAAAATCATTTGAATAAATTTATTTATTATTATTATTTTTATATCAACAATTTAAATAATTTAGTAATAATTTATTTCTTATGAAAATACAAGTTTAAATTCAAGTTACATACTATATAAATAAAATAAATTAAAAATAATAAAAAATTATTTTTTATTATACAATTTAAAATATTAAAAAAAACAATATTATTCTTTTTTTTTTTTTATGTTCAGCCGTTCAGAAAATTAGTTGTAAGCATTGGACTTATCATACCTTCATTTCAACATTACAAGACAAGACAAAATGACAAATTCCAAAGGAAGGCTCCTCACAAAAGTGCTCCGTACTTGAGGGATTGTTTGGTGGCCAGAAAAATTTGTTGTATCTCCAAGACTATTGTCAATATTTAGTTAACTAAATTATTGACTAAATTATAACTTAGTGGACTTTGTCAAGAGAATAACTTTCTCAGAAAGCAACCTTTCGAGAAAATAATAATTTTAGTTCATTAAACGCCTTATACTAGTATTTGGATAGCGATAGCTCTCTCCAAAAAAATGCCAACCAAACGATGCATAGGTAATGAAGAATGTGACTTTCTTTTCTTTTCTTTTCTTTTTTCATCATGAACCATATAACAGGTGCCCCACACATTTTTATCACGACCACTTCATTTCAGGTGTGTGCGTGAATAACTTGATTAATCCTTCGTAATTTAAAGGAAAATAATTTGTACGATTTGATATATTTTTTATATTTATTTATTTTAATTATTAAAATATAATATAAATATAATTTATTTCAATCGATTTTTACATTTTTTATATATGATTACATTTTTAAATTTGATTGTTTTTAATTATAAATTAAAAAATAATAATTTTTTAACAAATATATTATGTAATACGTAATATAATATGTTGAGCTAAAATATGTATAAGTTGGTGTACCAATCTAAAAAGCAACAACTCAATTAAAAGTTTATTCCCAGCATTAGTTAAAGAGTAAAGAAACAGCCTTCCTCAAGTATATATACCTAAAGAAAGAAGGCACCAAAATTCAAAGCTACAATCCACTTTTCAGATTCTTTATAAACAAGTAGATTATGATACATATCAATTGATCAGGAATCTCTACTCGATATAAAAAGTAAAAACTGGGTACATTTTATGATAAATAAAATTCTAAAAATAATTAGAATAGACCCCCCGATATTCAACCTAACGCTATATATTAAGGATACCCACCAACCATCTGTTGTTTTGCCAATTGCAATTCAACAACTGAGGATGTGGGTATTAAAGCTATGAATTTTTCAGTGTTTTCTGCGCACTATATATATATATATATATATATATAATTTATCTACATCCGCGCATAGTGGTACAGGAATGGGGGTGCTTGGAAGTAAATTTGTTCTTCTTTATTGCCTAGCCCTCCCATGCCTTAGGTTTTATGATCATTTTTCTTGTTTGGTCAATCGGCCGGTTTTATGAGAAGATGCCCAAAAGAAAAAGAAAAGGAAAAAAAAAAAAAGAGAGAGAGAGTACTAAATGTCGAAATTATTCTTCGCCAAAAAAAAAAATAAATTGTACTCTGGGCGCATCGTATAACAAAGCATGTGGTTTATTCTTCCACAAACAAGTAGACATCTATATATGTGGATTGCAGAATCACGGCAAAGAAAAGCATATAATCCAAGCATGTTAAGCATAATGTGCAGATGATACTGAAAATCAAGCATCTTTGACAACTCTAGGCAATTCTAGGCCTCAATTAAGTGATATGCTAGAGTTATCATAGGGAAAAAAAGAGATAGACAAATTAAATTTTATTCCATATGTGTCTTGGACCACTAGACGTGCAGTTGGGTGCATCGAAGGGTCATGATGTTTAGCAATGATAGCTAGGAAGTGGACTGCTAGTAGCTTCCAAACATCTTCAACCATTTAAAAGTGAAATAGCTAATTAAGCAAAGTAAACCAAAGAATAATGCTTTGGCCACCTTGAGCATTTCTGAACTTTGTTTTGTGCTAAGTTTTTTTTATCTTTGAGTATTGTTAGTTTTTTTTAAATAAATTGGAGTACCCCTTGTATTTTATTTTGATAATATAATTGTCTTTACTGATATAAAAAAAAAAATAATGCTTTGATAGTTGGAAGTAAGTTGCCATTAATGTTAGCTTTATTTTCAAGAATCACAATGAAAACTATGGAGATTTTAGCTTTATAATTAAGAGATTATGCTTACATCACATGGTTAAAAATTTTTTAAAATAAAAATGAAAGAAGGAGATATAATCATGTGACCTATTAAAGGCTGCTACTTAAATCTTTAAGTGTTGAATTAAGATCTTATTTACCACATCCCCTAGCGAATATCTTAACAATTACGTACGAAAATTCTAAGTTGAAAGTTTTAAGACCAAGGCTGGCAGCAAGAGATATATTTTTTTGGCGAAAGGATTGGAAAAGAGAGAGAATAAGGGCCGGGGAAAATTTTTGCCGAGTTGCAAATTTCGAGCCCAGACCAATTATTTTACGTTGAAAACTCGCAATTCAGAGTTCAGCCCAATGGCCAAGCAAAAGCAGTTCAAGGTTTAAACTTCTCAGAGACCATGGGCTCCAGCTCCACAACTGATCTGATCCCATCCCTTCGTTCATTTAAACCAAATCAAACCAAACCAACGGACGCCGCATCGTTTCGAATTTTAACCAATCTGGTAGTACCTAAGCCGCCCATCAACCCGAAAACTGACATATAGCACATGAGAAGGAGACCCGGAATTTTTTGCTAATTTTTTTATAAATAAACAAAACCAAATAAAAACCAAAAACTGCTAAGCCTAAAAACATCTTCAACGGGAGCTCAGTTACATTGTTCTTTCTTAAATTTAAACAAAACTTAGATAAAAATAAGTGATACAATAATTAAATTTTGTTTTTTAAACAGTATCAAATTATGTCAATCAGTCATTTTAATGATAAAGACATTTTCATTTTTGCTTGGCCTTTTTCTTGCACCTCTAATTTGTTTTTTAATTGTCACTCTTTTGTCTTTTTCTTTTTTTATTAATGTAAGTGAAATAATATAATAGTGATATGATTTTTAAAAAGCTTTATTTTATTTTATGCATTGAAAAAGATGGTGTTTGATTAAGTGTTATATTTTAAAGTTAAATATATATAAAAAAAAGTTATAGAAAATAATATTAAATATGATATTATGACATCAAAATGAGTTTTTGTTGTGTTTGCCATTGTTAATGCTCTTAGTCCTAAGATTACAAATCAACATAAAAGAACACCTCTGCTCAGGACATTCCTTGCTCCATCAAGCTGAGAAATTGGTGATACGAGTCTAGCTTAGACTGAACTGAATCCGTGAACCAGTTCTCCCAACTTTTATTATCAGCAAGCAAAGCGTCATTGATGATATCCCTGGGGCTGGAGGTGGGATGTCGTCAGGGCCTGTCACTACGTCGCAGACCAAGCACACAACTTTCCATTACCCCATTGAAGCAATGCAGTACACCATTCAAATTCATCGACCATTAGTAGGGAAGGATCAGAATAAAATTAATTCAGAGGACCAGACCACGTCCAAATTGATGTCTTTCCCTACATCCCACGCTTGTAATAATTTAAATGACCTTAACACCTGTACGGAATACAGCACATCATCCATAATAACGGTTGACCAACTCATGGATTGACCTTTTGTTGAAGAAATAACAAAAAAATAGCAGAAGAATAAAATGAAAGTTTTGAGATGTGATCTCATTTTTTTTAAAAGTTTAAAATTTTTTAAAATACAATAAAACTCAATATTTTAATTTTGTATAAAAATTTATATTACTTGAATAGTTAGTATTTATTAAAATACAAAACCTAAATTATTTTACATTTTACTTTATTTAATTATTTATTAATAATAAGTACATCTTTATAAATTTCTTTAGATTCCCATTGTTGCTTGGCGTGGGGGTTAACATTTCAACACCTTCTGCTTTAAGAAGTTCCCAATGCTTTTCTTTGAAGTAGTAGGGAATGAGATTAATATTGGTAAGAGCAGTGCTAGGGGCACTCGCCTCTTGCACTCTCCGGCCAACACTTCCCCTTTCATTGGGCCACGTAAGCTTGTTTCAGCTTTGAAGTGCAACCTTTTACCGACCAGAATAACGTGGCCCAATAAAAGTGGAAGTGTTGGCCGGAGAGTGCAGAAGGCGAGTGCCCCTAGCAGTCCTCATATTGGTAATCTTGGATCAGAAGTCGGCTTCTTTCATAATCCAATTGTACTGGAAACCATTTGCTTACAAAAGCATAACCTTTTTGATGCTGCGGTTCAGAGTCCAGCCCAATCAAAAGCAGCAGTTCAAACTTCTAAGGCCCATGGACTCCACAACTCATGCCATCCTAGGACATGAAAGGACATCCTTCATTTAAACCAAACCAACCGACGCCGCGTCGTTTCAATTTTGCAACCAACCCACGCCGCCCAGCAACCCGAAAAACAAAATCTGAAGTACCACGACTGATGAGATCTGCATCAAGTCTTCTTCTTCATCGTATCTTCCCGCGGAAGTTTTCCGGTCAAACATCCTACGTAACGCCTGCCACCACCTCATCCTCTCATCCTCTCTTCATCTCTATGTGCTCCTGACTGCATATTGCTTAGCATCGTTCTCATCCCGATCCACTCGAGGTTAGTCTTGTTACCACCGTCTTGATTTGAATTTTCAGGCTATTTCTGTTTGTTTCGTTATAAAATCCGTGAGAAAATTTTATTGTCCGTTTTTGTTTTGGTTGTTTAATGTTAGGAAGCTTCCTCGTCTGTAGTTTCCCCTCGATTTTTCTTGATTTTTTTAATGTAGCTTTTGGAAACTTTAGTTTGATGATTATTGTTATTTGTTTGGTGTAAATTATCGAATATATGAAGCTTATTTGTAATTTGATTGATTTTAGTGTTTGATGAAAAATGACAACCATGAAGAGGATATAGAGGACATGAACTCTGACTCAGTTAAGTCGAACAGTAGAAAACGTTCCTCACCTGAAGATTGTGAGGTTCGGGAGGCTGCTGTAGAAGTAGAATTGCAGCCTTCGTGTGTTGGAATTTCGGGGACGCACTCACAAGCAGATGATAGATTAGCAGAACCAGGATCTTGGATAAAAAATAAATCAAGATTTAGGAAAACGATGCAGAATTCCTTTGAAAATGCTCCAAAGCTACCGGAGGAAATTGGCTCCTCCAGCACAGGTCAAATGAATATTCTTTCCACTGCTTTTATACCAGATGTAGGAAATAGCACAGATAATCTCATTTCATTGCACGCAGTAGAAGCTAATAGTGTTTCTGTTGCCTTGGAGAATAATGGTTATGCTCATAACCAGCCTGAAAATGGTGGTTCTAGTACCAAGGGTATTGATATTGTATCAAATCTAGAATCAGATGTAAGAGATGGTGAAGAAAAATCTCTGTCCACACATGCAGAAAAAACAGAAGAAAGTTCTCTTGCTATTACTAAGAAAGAAGATAGCGGATCTATAACTTTAAAGTCCTCAATTGCAAGACCTCCTGTCAGTAATTTAAAGAAAAAACTTCTTGTTCTTGATTTGAATGGACTTCTCGTTGATATAGTTTTTCCTGCTCCAAAGGATTATACTGCAGACACAAACATCTCAGGGAAGGCAGGTGAGAATTAGTGCTGTAACCTGTAATATGAGCTTGTTGATTTTAATGGCTTTTATGCTTAGAAAGATGAAATCTAATTGGAATTGGCTTTCTCTCTTTTTCAGTTTTTAAGAGACCCTTCTGTGATGATTTTATAAGTTTCTGCTTTGAGAGATTTGAAGTCGGTGTCTGGTCCTCAAGAACTAGGTATTCATTTACTTGTGTGTTTTCTGATTAAAAAAAGAATCTTGTGTTTAGTCATCTGCTTTTTTTTTCTTTTTTTTTTTTTGTATCTTTATTTTTAATGATTCTCTGTATACACTGAATTGTCCCCTTTCAGATTTAGTTTGTTTTTACAAGTGCTGACCCAAAGTTTAACTTATGCAGGAAAAATGTGGACAGGGTGATTGATTTTTTGCTTGGTGATATGAAACAGAAGTTGTTATTTTGTTGGGTAATCATGAGAGTTTACTTTGTGATTTTTTTCTTCTTCTTTTTTAAGTAAGGATTGTTGATGGATAGTATCAAAATGTGTACAAGAAAGGATTGTCTCTAATATTGAAAGAAATGATTATTTTAAGCCTGCCCATCTGGTTGGATGGATGCAAAACTGAGGAAGAAGGAAAGCATTATTAATTTCCTATAAGAAACTGGCTGTTACTTCAACCAAATCATGAATTGATGGATCCTATATTCCTATAATGCTCTAGGACAAATATATTTTCTATTTATTTATGTTAAAACACAATTTGAAACCTTACATAGGCACATGCCACTATTCATTTACATGTTGAGAGCAAATTTACCCTGGAGGGGAATAGTTCAAATTCAAACCTGTTCTCTTTACACTAAATGATTCTGCAGGATTCGTCCTACTGCACTGCAACACAGTTTAAAACTCTTGAGAACCAACGTAAGCCCTTGGTCTTTAAGGAGCTGAGGAAACTGTGGGATAAACATGATGCTGATCTTCCATGGGAGAAGGGATTTTATAACGAATCAAATACATTGTTGTTGGATGATACTCCTTATAAGGCATTGCTTAATCCAGTAAGTTCACTGACCCCTTGCAGTTTTTTTGCTTTTGGCTACTGAAAGTTATCTTGTGTGTATGCATGTGTTTGTCATAGTTTAATTGGGGCCTGACCCTTTTAAAATTTCTGCTACTTTTTCCCTTACAGCCACATACTGCAATCTTCCCTTATTCATACAAGTTTCAGGATGGGAATGATAATTCATTGGGTAAGATGACTTCTAGTATCATTCATGCACCATGGTTTTGTTTTCTATCCAAGCAATGTCAAATAACCAGTAGGTATTATGATTATACTATTTTCTTGTCACCCCTGCTGATGCATCTTTATCAAGAATTGAGAAAATCTGAGTTGGTAGCATATTTATCTGTTAAATGGAATGAGAGAATTGCTTGGATTCAATTGTTTTATCCAGATATCTGATATAATTGTCCCATATGTACACATTTCTTGAATTTTGGCACTCTGTACTGGCAATTTAAATGATTTTTCTTCTGGATGATTGAGAGCTGTTTCTACACGCTGAACAATTAGAAGCTAAATTCAAATCATTTCAGGTTCAGGAGGTGATCTCAGAGTTTATCTGGAAGGTTTGGCTGCAGCTGAAGACATACGAACATTTGTAGAACAAAACCCTTTTGGCCAGACACCTATCACTGAAAGTAATGATTCTTGGAGCTTCTACCTCCAGGTTATGAGCACGCATGTACCGTCTGAAGTCCAAGTTAACTCAGATCTCCCAGCTTAGTATTTTCCTTGTGATTCTGTTGGCTAAATATAAAGTTGCTTATTTTAGCTTCGATACTATATCATACTCTCATAATCTCATTGAATATAGCTGGTTAGCGATAAACCTCTTTATTTTCAATGAACTTGTGGTCGGATGCAACAGCAAGGGTAAGCTGCTGGCTGGAAACATAGCCTGTTGATGTTCTGAAGAAACCCCACTCAAATTGGGAAATTATTTGTTGTAATTTTCTAGGAAAATAGATTTCTAATTCTTCATAGATGATGATTGGAAAAGTTTTCATTGGGTATAGGGTATCTGACATTTTGGAAAACTAGAAGGAATGTTTTGTTGTTTATTTTTTTATAATCTCAGCTGCCTATAATTGTTTTATTTCAGGTCAATCAACCTGTGTTAAACTTGAGATTAGCAAAGGTATGTAATGACAGTTTCATGCTTCGAGTCATAAAATTATTGAACCCTTAAATACATACAATCTCAGCAGAATGTTTTTTTGTCTTTTGGATAATGATCAACAAAGTTTGATCTTTGTTATTACAATTTGTTTGGTATGATAAGATGGCTGTTAAGATTGCTTTAAAGTTACTTCCTGTTAAGAAAGGCAGTTATTAGCACATATATCTTGCTACCATGTCTAACGTTATAACTGTGTTTTACCCATTTTGCTGTTGATTGTACTACAAAGCAAGTGATCAAATAAAGTTGACGTTTCAATTAATTGTGCATACTTTAGTTTTTCCATTGTGTTATATCTTATTTGACATGGTAGAGTTGGACCATAATTTGTTAGTCAAATGTATTTGGAAGAATGTTTTGGCAACCCTAAAAGTTAAGCTGTCCTAACTGCCTCAGAGAGCACGTTTAAACAGCACCATCACAGAGTCGATATCATCTAGGTTACAAAATCTTATTCTATTTTGATAAAGTTGAAGGTAGATCAAAGAGTCTGCCCTACAAAGTTGCGACCTGTAATTAGTTCTGAGGCTGACTCTTACAGCATCTTCTCCCTGTTCTCAGTTCTCTGATGTCTGCTATGAACGCCCTTGATTATTGATGACTTTGAATTGAAACTGATATTATCTGTGTTGGACATGTATCTGTATCAGTCACTTGATCTCGAGTCTAAGTGACTCAGGGAGTTTGTGGCTAATAACACTTGCTGATATCCTTCTATTTGCTTCTATTTTTCGGATTTCTTTATTGATGCAAGTACATTACTTCAGATATTCTCCTCGAAGAAGAGTAGGATTTCAACTCATTGGTCTGCTCCCAATTTTGGTTTCGTGAAGTTTAATGTCGACAGTTATTCTATTGGTAAACTGGGCTTGGCTGGCATTGGCGGGGTTCTTAGAAATGAGGGAGGATTGGTTATTGGTCTTTTCTCGAGATCAATAGGCGTAGTTGAGTCGAATGTAGCTGAACTTGTAGCTATTTGCGAGGCACTTGAGATGTTCTTAGCTTCTGATTGGGTTGCATCACGTTCACTGATCATTGAAACCAACTCTTCTCGTGCTGTTTCTTGGGTCCGTGACAGAGCTAGGGTCCCCTGGTGTTGTGTTAATATCTTTAACAAAATTCTTTCCTTGTTGCGATCGGTTCCTTCAGTTCAGTTTCACCATGTCCCAAGAGAAGCCAATGCCTTTGCTGATGGCTTAGCTAGATCTGGGGTGCACAGGCATCAACCTTTTTATGCTTGGATCTGATCTTGTTTAATTTTATTTTATTTATTTATTTTTTTTTTGAAGTCATGGATTACTAATGAATGAATCACTTAATATATATTTTTTTTTAATGAAATTGGGGTCATCATGGGGAGTGGCTCCTATGAAGGGACTTTGAGCTCTGATTTCGTGTTGTCCTAAATCAGCATGCCTTCTTCGTAACGTATTGCCATCATTTTCCCTATCTCATTTTCCACGATGCACAGAAGTTTGGTATTGACTTTACAAACCTTTGGAGGCCCACATTAATTTCTACAAGGTTTCATTGAATCAGTGGCATGGTTAAGGCCACAAGGTCAAAGTGTTATTGACACCTAATTTTTTAGATATAATCTTGTAAAATGTTGATTAAGTGTAATTTAATAATTAAAAATAATTGACAATTACAATATTAGTTAAATAATAATAAAATAATTAATATTTATTATTTAATAAATTAAAATTAATATATAAATTAATATTTTTAAATAAAAAGAGATTAACTTATATATAATTTTCATACATTGTATTTGTATAAAATTTAAATAACTCATCTTTTTATATTTAATAGTTGAGATTTATCATAATTTTTTAAATAAAAAAGTAATATAAATAAATTTTAATCAATGAAAGTAAAAAGATAAATTATTGATATTTTACATAAATATAATATATAAAATTTATATGTAAATAAATTTTTATTCTTTTTTAATACTATAATTCAAAATTGAGGAAATGCCGTACAGAATCAAAGCGCCAATTAGCCTAACCATCTATAGATTCGAGCAAATGTAAGAGGTGGGCTTATATAAGGCATCGAAGGGAAACTTGCTTATAAGGTGGAGATTGAGAGGAATTAGTGTTGACTATTATTTTAAAAAGAAAAATAGTAGGAAGGAATCATTCTTAGGGGAGAGGTAGGTTAATAGCTATTCAATACTCTTCTCTTAATTTAGAAAGAAAGATACATCTCAATCCCTCTTAACCCATTTTTTCAAGCAAGTTTTTTAATTTTAACGTATTTTATAATCCGACTTTTCATGACAAGATAGGTAGAATATTAAGGAATAAATATCTTGATTTTTGAGTCTTTCACTTCACGGTTTTAGTTGGAGGACTAGACTTGTCATGCATGCCGTATACAGTTGGATTTGACATGATAAGAAGAATAAACCGGGCATGTGGAAGATACGACTCTTGCTGCAAATGAACTGTCAGTTTGATTGAATGTATGAATTTCATTTTTCTTTTAGAAGTGTCGTGGTCAATATGATGGAGTATTGCTGTATTACAGCAAACTGCACTGAGGGAAAAGGTTAACTCATGGCCAGCACTTGAAAGGCATACAAAATTTTATACATTATTTTATAATATTAATTTAATTTAATTGTTAAAAATAATTTATTAAAATGTGACATTAACCATGCCCTGTTGATCACTAATTCTTTAGCTGTGAAAATGCGCTTCATGGTACACGTAATCCGGTTTTAGGTACTTATAATCAATCAAAGGCATGGAATGCGAAAGTTCATCTGTCTGGCTGGACCACCATCTCCTAATAATACCATATATTTCTTGGTTGTTAAGCTTTTCCTCACTAATTGAACATGTCCTTCCGTAGTTTAGCAAAAACATTTCGCAACCACATTCTTCATTCATCATCCATTTGTAGACTTCAATGGAATTTGGGAATTTAGAAAAAATTAAGATGGCTTGAAACTTCAATCTCTTTGTATCAACATTCTTAAACACCAAGTTTAGATATAAGATTTGAAGGCCTTCCTTCTCATGAACAAAATGAGATAAGAGGGGGATTCTTGATTAACCCCAGAATGCCTTGTTTAAAGCTCACACAAACCTTTGGTCCCTTTTGTTCATAATCTTCCCTAAAATGAGAATTGGGAACCCATCAACTGGCTTTAGAGATTTTATTTCTTTTCCCTTTCTTTTTCCCCTTCAAATCTAGGTATTTAATTCTTTTTTGATTTCATAAAATCTCTAAACAATACATTTTTTTTTTTTTGGTTTGGATGGTTGAGATATTTTTAAATTAACTTTTACGTAACTTAAGATTTATTTTTTTGGAAAATATATTTTAAAATTTTAATTGCACAATAAGAGGTAAATCATCTTCCATTACTTATCCTATCTCACTCACATACCATATGACTTGAATTTAAGATTTATTACTTCTAAAAAAAAAATAATTATTGAGTTATTTATATCATTAGTCTTTTGTTTTGTACACAAGGTTAAATATGCACTTCACATTAATTTAGTGATTAAAACAATTAATTTTATTAAATATTGTCTTCAATATATATTTTTATATATTATTGACTAAGGGACCGCCCTAATCATATTGATGAAATAAATGAGATAATTGACATGGTGGGGTTTGGTGGAGCAGATCATGTGGCCATGCAGCTTTTCTTGGAACCTAGTTTTGGGTGAAGCGGGAATGAATTGTTTCCTGCCTGATGAAGTTGAGGCATCCCTCATGTGATCCTTTCACTTTTTGCATGTGGTTTTGTATCCCTTTTCTTTTACAATTCTTTCAATTTCATACATCACAATCACTCCCTTTTATCATGATTGGGTTTCCAAATTATATAAAATCAAGTTCCTATGTAAGTGGGGACTCAATGTAGAGTTTACATGGATCTATCAAATTCTGTTGTTAAAGTAGCTAGCACTAAAACATGTATAAATGTACATAAACAAAATTTAAAGGCTGGATTAACTCAATAAATAAATATCAATTTATTGGTGAGATGATTAATTTCAAAATATGTGAAATCTAATTTTTTAGAAAATGTATACACAAGCAATTACACAATTGAGGTGTCACTTTCTTTTTCTTATACAAGCAAAGCACTCTTCTTAAATGCTTACTTTCTGTAGTTGTTCATATATCATTTTTTTTTTTTTACTTTCCTATTCCAATCCTAGTTGCCAACGTTTTCAGACTAGCATCTTGTTTCGTGCAAGTAAATAGTTAATTGCAAGTACGACGCAATGTGATTTCCAAACCGATTACCAAAATGGGTGTATTTCTACCTTTTAACGCTTATAACTCACTATTTGATTGATATGCATTCAAAGCACCTTTCCCCAAAACCAATTCCACAATAGCGAGAAAGTTGCAATTTTTTCCCACCCTTTATAAAACATAGAGATATGTTGAAAAGTGAGTAACGTGCAGCACTTGATATATTTATCAAGATGCCTCTTGATTTTAGGAAGTATAAATGTACCATTAAGTAAGCCTAATAAACCTAATGTAAAAATGTTTTTTTATAATTAAAAAAAAATTTATTATATAACTTATAATCTAATATAGTAAAAAAAAATCTTCTAATATCCATACAACTTTAAAATAAAATAAATGAAGAAGCACATTCCAAGTTTCCAACAAAAACAGCCTCAAATGTCAATGGTATTACAACTCATTGGTGAGCAGAGCACGTGATGCCCTGTTTCTTCCTAGTGGAAAATTGGAAATCATCATGCATTTGCAAATGCCGTCTTTATTTTTCTATTATTTTGTCAGTACCAAATTAATTTTTTTATTCAGTTTCAATTTGTTGAATAAATAGGGTAGAAAATCTGCCAAAAGGCTTTAAGGCGTGATATGAATGTCACTTCACTTTAAGTTAATTTTGTTCCTATCAGATCTTATATGCAAAAGGGGTAAACTAATGCCCGTAAGATATAATGAAGCGCTTTATTAATCTTGTCTTTGTACTAACAAGATCAACCACTGAACTGTCTTTTGGAAAGTAACAAAACAATAGTTTTTGTATAGAAATTTCTGTAGCAATTGCAGTATAAAATTGGGCTGTTTTATTTAGATAATAATAGGAATTTGTTTCTAAGTTTAAGAGACAAAGAAAAAGAATGGATAACTTCGTATTTATAAAGGTAAAATATCTATTGGGAATAGACATTCTTTTTTAGTTTATTAACTGATGATATCTAAATTTTTAGTTTACTAACTGATAATATTTGAATTTTTGTTAAATTTATCTGTTAAAAACTCTTTCAAAAATCATTTGATTTGATTTGAATTTCAACTCACGTGTTTTCTTGTCTTTCAAAATTATCCACTCTTCCTTCAGAAACTTGTCCAAACTTTATTTCTTATTTCTAAGCAAATGGTTCGAAACATGTTTATATGATTCGAACCAAAATCGTAACTTTTTGGATTTTGATTTTACATAAATGATTCAAATTATAATTATATAATTCGATTCAAGGTTACACTTTCTCAAATATATTCTGTGCAATTGTTTCAAAATAACTTTTTGTTATTTAAACCCAAATTTTGAAACTATTTTGAAAATTTTTCAACATGATTTTGGATATGGGAAACTAATATCTAGCTTGGGGGTAGGGCTTCACTTATTTTAATTATATGTTATTTTTTCTCCATTTTTTTATATGAATTAATATGGACTATTTGCAAGCGTAATGAGATGGCAAATAGTTAAAAGGAAAAGTGATTTGTAAAACAAAAGGAAATACTGAAATCTAATATATATCTTTTCTTTCTTGGAAAAAAAATTGTTTTCTGATTAATATAAAATACGACCCATAAAGGAGCCATACACATTATTACTAAAAACATTTATAAGAAATTATCATTTAACAGTCTTAGTAAAGAAAGATCTAGCTTTACTCAATAAGATGGCGCCCCTTAAAAGGTATAGGACAGAAGCAAACAAAATGAAACAGTCAAGAAACAGAAAGCCTAGAGAAAAGTTGGTTTTTCTTGGGATTATTGGTTAGATTCAGTCCAACTCATAGAAGAATTAATACAAATATATAATAATATTGTAAATATGCTTATACCAACATTATCCATTTGGTTTCATTCAGATTTTCACTTATTGTACAGTAGGATCACAATCTACTTCTATCTACTTGATGAAAATTAGAGTCCAAAAAACACAACACATGGCAGTTGCCACCAGACACACTTCTGTCTGGAAAATAAAGGAAAAAATTTAGTACCCTTTAGACAACTAAAATTTCATATTTTTAAAGCA